GCGGGACAGTCGGTTTCTCGAGCCAAAATTATAGATGATTCTTATTTTTGTAATCATTTTGCTGGCTTCTTAATCTGGAGGAAGGTTTCTCGGGGAGGCGGGGAGGGGGAGAAGGCAGCTGGAGGACTGCGGCGGCGGCAGGAGGAGGAGGAGGAGGAGGAGGAAGAGCAATCTCAGTTTCAGCTGGATCTGTCACTGATCACGTCTCGGCGCGGGGCACGGAAGGGGATCGGCGCTGGACTTCTGCGGGAAAAGCCGGTTTTTTTATTCACGCTTAAACAAACCCCCTTCTCTCCCCTCCGCCCCAGCCCGCTTGTGCGTACAATCAGCTTTTTCTAGCAATCGTGAGTTTGTCGGTTTTAAAGAAAAAAAAAAAAAAACAAAAAAGAGAAAATAAATACAGTGGTTCAAATTGCTTCTGCATCCAATTCAGGCTGAACACGGCTGTTCCTCTTTTGTCACTGCTTGTTCATCAGCGTTTGCTTTAGTATTCCTTGATTTCAACTGTTCCTGCACTGTATTCCCTTTTATTTGGGTGTATTTTCTTCTAGATCAGTCTCTATCATGATTATTTTTAATATCATGATTTTTTTAATGTCTTAATATTAAGAGTCAGATCTCTTTTGACTTCCTCTCTTCAGTCTTCTTTCTCCTCTTCCCTCCCCAACTGTGTTCACACATTTCTTTTGCTGAACACTTCCAATCATTTGCTCTTGTTGCTGAAAATCCAGCTCTTGGTCAGAGATTCTCTAACTGGCCTACGACAACATCATCCTTCCACTGCAAGAGGATCCTTTCTCTTCCATCCTTCCTCACAAGAGGAGAAGCTATTTTTTCATGTGAAACGGAATTGGCAGATGTTGTTACCTTTTCAGTTTATAACAATTGATTTATTTTCTTTATTTTTCCTTGGCTATTTGAGAAGCGGCATCATACTACTATAGTGCAGTAGTGGTGGGTAGGTGTTGTCCTGGACTACTGGGCTGGGTTTGGGGGTTTTGGAGGTGGCTTGGTTTTTTGCTGGGAAGACTTATTTTGGCTCAAGGAAAATATTTTTAAGGAAAAACGCTCTAGCTTACTCAGTAAGTCTTAACGTCTAGTGGGACTTGCAAAATGACGTAAAAATTGCAGTTCTTAACTATCAGCCCCATTTGATTGAGTAAATGTTCTGTGGACAGAGTTGACATGCCTATTTAAAACAGACAGAGGCCCCCAATTCCTTTACTTTTGGTCTTTTTTTTTGGTGACTGAAGAACCTCTACTTGGTCTGCGGTGTAGAGGATAACATCTCAAACCGTTTCTGCCATTTGCAGGTGCAGAGGGGGATTGTGTGCATGTGAACTTAGTTTTTTTTTTTTTTTTTTTTTTTTTTTTTTTTTTTTTTTTTTTTTTTTTTTTTTTTTTTTTTTTGCACCGGGGGGTTTTTTTTTTCTTTTATTGGAGCCGGGGGTCCGGCAGGCTGCGGAAACGGCTTAGGGGCCATTTTAAACCCAGGCCCTTGGCCCGCGGCGTGTCCCGGGGCCGGATCCTGCCCTGCCCCAGCTGGAGCAGCCCCCCGCCCCGCAGCAGGGGCTACGTGGGGTTTCGGTGCTCGTGGGGGACGGGGGGGGGTTGTCCGGCGGCGGGGCTGCCAGCACAGGGTTTGCCGGTGTGCGTTAACACCAAGGTGGAAACGCCGCTCGGGCTGGCTCTGGCAAGAGCAGCGAGAGAAACGGCGCACGGCTCCTGCCTCCAGCCCTGAATTCAAGGCCACGAAGAGCGGCTCCGGGCTCACCTTCAGCTCCGGAAAAGGGGAAACTGGCGGGACAGGGGGTGACAGTGACATTAACAGCACGACCCGGACGGGGAGAGGTGGGGCACAGGCGCTTCTAGCTGACAACGCACTTTTTCTCTTGGTTTGTTTTTTTTTTAAACTAAGTGGCTCATTTCAAACATTTTTACTGTAAATGAGGCCAAAGGCAGCAGGACGAGGTCCGCAGCAAGTCCCGGCTCGCCGGCCGATGCTGCCGTCTGCTGTTTGCCTGGCTCCCGGCAGGGTTTCATCGCACGGTTCAGTGCGAATAAAGCCACGGACAAACTGGCCTCGCTGGTGCGGGAGGAAAAAGCGATCCGGCGTGGCTCCGCAGCCACAGAGCGAGGGGCGGAGGCGGGAGAGGGGCCAGGAGCACAGCCAGGCTGGCGGCGGAACCAGCGCCGGCCGATGCTGCCGTCTGCTGTTTGCCTGGCTCCCGGCAGGGTTTCATCGCACGGTTCAGTGCGAATAAAGCCACGGACAAACTGGCCTCGCTGGTGCGGGAGGAAAAAGCGATCCGGCGTGGCTCCGCAGCCACAGAGCGAGGGGCGGAGGCGGGAGAGGGGCCAGGAGCACAGCCAGGCTGGCGGCGGAACCAGCGCCCGGAGAGGCACGGAGAGGAGCGGAGCCGCCGGACGGCCGTGCCTTCAGCCAGGCCCCGCTTGCGGAGCTCGGAGACGGGGAAAGCAGCCGTTGGGACGGACAGACAGACGGACGGGGAAGCTCAAAGGGCTGCCCAAGGGAAAAAGTCGCCCCTGAAAAGCACCAGAGAGATTTTTTTCAAGTGTGACAGAACCTAAAAGTTTGCCTGCGCTGGCAGTGGGACGACCTACAAGCAGACGGCAGATTAACGCAACACGTAGCCACTTTCTGCACAGAATAACATTTAATCCACCCCGCCAAAGAACCGTTTCACACTCTGTAACTGCCATCGCCACGCAAGGAGGAGGCTACCTGCTGCTGAGCCATTAGCACAGCGCTCCCGAGACACAGCAGCTTTCCTCCCGGCGCCGGTCCGGGGCTGAGCTCGGCTCTGGCCAAGGAGAAAAGCTGTCACCGTCGCGGTCACTTCAGCAATTTAAATTTCTTCAGGTGCTGGTGCACTTGGTCCTTCGGGTAGGGCCTGAGCGCCAGGCAGGTGGCCGTGTTCTCGGGCTGCTCCGTCCACACTTCGTGGTCGATGCTGTGCTGCTTCAGGGTCTCCGCCAGCGCCGTCAGGGCGGCTTCGTCCGGAGCCTGGGGAGAGACAAAGCCTGCCGTGAGGGCTGGGGTGCGAGGCGGTGCTGGGTACCCGGCAAGAGCTGCGGGGAAAGAGGCAAAGCAGGACAGCTCGCACCGACGACGGTGGCCAGGACAGGGAGGCGGCCAGCTGCCCGCACACAGATATTAGGATGGGCAATCCCCATGCTTCCTATCTTACCCAAAAAGCATCTTGTTCTTGCAGGCCCGGACCGCACCGCTGGCCTCTGCGAGCACCGGGGGTAGGAGCCGGGGGTTGTGAACCAACACCGGTTGCAAACCTTCAAAAACGCAGGTTTTTCTCCCCCGGAAAGCTCGCCTGGCGCAGCGTGCCAAGGCAAACAGCTCTGCCCGGCCCCCCGTCCA